GTCCATGGGATGAAGCTGGCACACAGTGACCTCAACTGACTCTCGCTGTTCCCTGGAGTCACTTCCAAGCCCCCGTGCCATGCTCTTGGCTGAGAGGAAGGTCAGAATCCTCTGGGTCCAACATCCTGAGTCCATCCGGATCCATCATCTCTGCGGCAAGGCTACCCTGGAGCAGCCTGTTCCCAGGCCTGCCGGGCAGCCCACCCCAGACAGCACCCTGTTCGTTCCCGACAGAGACTGACCGGTCAACCCAGAGGAACTCCTGGTCTCGGGGATCTCAGCTAAGCTCCCGATACGCCCTCCAGAGAGTTCCGCAGGGCTCAGTAGAGCACCTTCCCCAGCGGGGTGGGGGCTCTTGCTTACCCTCTGCAGAGAGCAACCACCTGAAGAACTTGAAAGAAGTCCCACACCATCGGGAATGACTCCAGTGCGACGTCACCAGCGCTGCCTGGTGGTCATTCCCCCACGGCCTACCTGCTTTTCTCCCACCTCTCCCGACACCCACGTCACCCTCATCAGCCAGGGACTGACTGACACCCATGCAGCACTGGGCTTCATGTCTCCCCTCCATCCCCACGTGTTGAAAGGGATAATTGGGAGGTAATTATGTGACCGCACAGTTTGTAGTTAACCTTCTACTTTGGCTTTTAGTGTGCGTCGTGTCTTTGCTCCGGGAGGACATTAAGGGTAATTATGGGCAATTCACTGCCAGATCCAGAAAAGGGTTGTGCGGCGGGCACAGGAGCCTGCCAGGAAGGAGGGGGCGGGCGAAGCTGGCCTTGAAGAGCATCCAAAACTGTAAATGAATTAAGGTCAACCTGACATGAACTTTGGCCAAGAAGAGCGAGGAAATTTGAGTCCATCAAAGTCCTGTCTTGAGAATGTCCGTCTTGTAACAGACCCAGAGGAACTGTCGCATGGTCATTTATTCAGCCGCTAGAGCCCGCGCTCCTTCTCTCTGCCGAGCCTCGGGTTGGGGGCAGGCTCTGCTAACAAGGTTCGTGGGCACCTGTCACTGGCTGACATGTGTCAAGCCACCTCCACGAAAGAATCTCTAAGACAGGCCGCTGGTTCTGGCGTGATGTATCTTAACCTTAACAACATTTAAGAAATAAAACTTAAGTCATCTCCCCGATGGGTGTTTAGGAGAAATCAATTATTTCCTGCAATCGTGGATAAACCCCTAGAAAAATGAGCATTTATGTGCAATTCCGCTTTCTCCCATCTCCAGTGCAATGAAAGAGAAAGAAAATCTCCAGCCGGGTGCAGGGGTGCACACCTGTCATCCAGTGTCTCGGGAGGCTGAGGAAGAGGATTGCGAGTTCAAAGCCAGCCTCAGCAACTTAGTGAGGCGCTAGGCAACTCAGTGAGACCCTGTCTCTAGATAAAATATAAAAAGGGGCTGGGGATGGGGCTCAGTGGATAAGCACCCCGGGGTTCAATCCCTAATTACCACCCACCCCCCCCAAAAAAAGGAAAATTAAAAATTTCTGGCTGCCCACAGGCAAACGGAGAATGGATATTTCTCTGTGGATCAGCGAGGTTCATGAGGTTCTCTTCCGTGGTTTGCCGTCACCCCTTGTAGATCAAGCTGAGAGGTCCCTTGGGCCCTTGACCCCAGGAGGGCCGCGGGGTGAGCAGGCAGAGGGCATTGACTGCTCTGTTCCAGGGTTCCAGACGCTATTGATGAGGATTAATGATCCTGTAAATAGGTGTTTAAAATAAATAAAGAGACGCAAACAGGGATTAGGGAGAAAATACAGTGGGTTAATAAACGAGGTGTTCCGCTGCAAGTTCCCACAAGATTATTTTAGCAATTAGTGGGACGCGTTTTGTCACAAACAAAATAAATCTGCAATCAGAAAATAATTTGCAATCAACTTTGAAAGTGAAATTGCATGTTCCCGTCAGTCGAAGGCGTTTTGAGAATTAAAGGATCACGTCAAGAGTGATGCTTTCCGGAGGTAAATGGTTAGAACCGATGGTTCTCTTGGTCATTAGTCAACCGTGAGCGTCCACCAGGGAGCAATACCACAGAAAGCTTTTCCTGGGAAGGAGCCATCCACCTGCCCAAGAGCAGAAACACCACGGGGCCAGAGGTGGAGGTCCCTTCCTGGAACTCAGCAAATGCACAGGAAAAGTGCCAGGCAAGGTGCTGAGGGGGCTGTGGCCCTCCAGTGGACGTGACCTCCGGCCACACCGCATGCGTTGCTCCTTGTGACTAACAAAGGCCTCAGTCATTTCCAGGGAGCATGGTCTTCATGCATTCATAGATTTCTTTGGAGACCAAAACAAGGGTGGAAAGTGGTTTCTGCAGATGATCAGTCCTTCAAGCAATTAGCGGTCCACCCGGAGAAACCGTAGGCGAGTTATCAACAATTTGCTTCATTTTTACTACGGACTGTGAAGACTCAATTCAGAGGGAACTTAACGAGCACATTTCAAAGCAGGGACTTTCTCTTTTTAAATCTGGCAATAAAACAGAAAATGCAAATCCAAAAGGACACACGGGCTCCCAGGGATGCAAATTTTCCCTCCAAGGAAGGGCCCAATTTGTGTCCCAAAGGCAAGAAGATTCAAAGGCGGCTCTCAGTAGAGCTCCATCTCACGACTGGTGGCTACCAGCATTTTCTGGCCTAATTTTTTCTCTTAAATACTTATAAAACTTTTGCTTAGGCTGCACGGATCCAAGAAATAAAATAGAATTATCTTAATAAAGAAAATGTTGGGACATGTCACTGTGATTTAGAAAGCCCATTTCATGGTGTGGGTTGGAACGAGAAATAATCAATTTGCAAAGTCCTTGATCTCTGGCTGCTCTGCATTGAGGGTGTTGGAATATTAAATATAATAGCATTTCACGTCCATTATCCTTGGGTTCGTCCAGAGCCTTGTCTTCATGGCACGAACCGTGTCCAGGCTGCCGATGATTAAAGCACAAAAAATCGCAACCGAAAGGGGGTAATGGTGGGAAGCTATTTACCTTGGATCTCACCTCTTTCTCTTCTCATTTTCAAAGAGCTAGACTTCCTCGTTCTCGCCGTTCACAAACTTTATTACTTTGTCAATTGTGAATTTATGTTCTACCCAAAGTCAATAAAAGCAAACTCGTCCCACGGAACTCGAGAACTAATTCCTCTCATTGAACTCTGTCTCGGTAGCCAGAGTCTACAGCAATTTATTATCTATTTCAAAATAAGTAGGAGGGAAGAGTTAGAAGGCTCCCGACACATAGAAATGATGAATGTTGAAGGAGGTGGAAATGCTAATTACTCTGATTTGATCATTACCTATGGCAGGCATATATTAAATGACCACACAATGCCCCATAAATAAGTGCGAATATTGAATGTCCATTAAAGGGAAAAAGGGCAGGTCCATTCATGCTCACACAGTTCCATGGTGGGTGCTTATTATAGTTTGGTCCCAGAATGTCTCTGAAAGGCTCATGTGTTGAAGGCTTAGTGTCCCCAACTCTGGTGCCCTAGGGAGGTGGCAGTCCCTCATTGGAGGAGGGAGTTTGCTGGGTCATGTCCTTGAAGGGTGCATCTTGTCCCTGATCCCTTCCCTCTCTCTTTCTTTCCTTCTGCTTTCTGTCATGAGCTGAGCTGCTTCCCTCCCCCACCCCCTTCCGCCATGATGTTCTGCCTCATCTCAGGCTCAGAGCCATGGCATTGGCCGACCATGAACTGGCACCTCTCTAACTGTGAGCCCAAATCAGTCTTTGTTCCTTGAACTCGTTTTCCTTGGGTAGTTTGTCACAGCAAGGGAAAGCTGACTAACTAACACAACTAACACAGTGTTTTTCTTGATCCTGCCTCCTTTGGGTGTCCCAGGGGAGGATGGGCAGAGCAATGCCACTGGGAACCACCCACATCGCTATTGGACCAGACCCAGGGTGGTGTTTAAGGGGCCGGTGTTGAGCTCCCTCTCTGGCTTTGTGTGTCCCATGAACCTGTGAGTGACAGCTCATCCTTGTCTAGGGGGTCATCTTCCAGTACTGCTGGGACACCAGGATCCCCTAATGGTTTCTTTTCACTGCAGGGGACCTACCTAATACTGCTAGAACCGCCACTCCAAACCTCTGGCCGATTTCTGGGCACTTCCCTTTCCATCCTCGCGCTTGGTTCTTGGATGAAGCCACCATATTGTCCCCTGGGACCATCCTCTGGTTTCCCTAGAGGATGCTCTGTGTGTACAGAAACGCCTTCCCTAGAGACACGGGCAGAGCAGCACCCACAGAGGGACCAGAAGCCCACACAGGTGAGACCACCATGTGGAGTCCCTGGCCTGGAGCGACTGGGAACCTGGGGGATGCAGCCTCCCAGCCGGTTCTGCCCACCATAGTTGGAGCTGCTGCTGAACCTCTCTGGGTGAGGGACTGGCAGAGCCAGGGCTGTGACCCAGCCACGTCTGCCTCCCTGAGCCCCCCTGCATCTCCAGCTGCTGACGAGTGATGTTCAGAGTCCATCTCCCAGGCTCCGTCTGTCTTTCAGAGCCTGTGCGTCTGTCATTTCAGCTGCCCCCAACACTGGCTGATCTCCAAACCTGCCCCCAAGCTGCTTCCTCCGCCTAGGTGTCCCCCACTCCTGGCCTGTTGAACTCGCATCCACCGTAGATCAAACACTTTGATGAATCCTTTCTCGGTCTCCCTGCTGAATGCTCTGATTCCCAACACACCTGTCTATTTTCCAGGCATCCCTTTGTTATTGATTTTTGCAATTTGCAGACGGTTCCGGGGCTGCTGCCTCACGGCCTCCCTGTGGCCAGTATTGGTACACGTCTGTGGGTTCCCTTGGGTGTGGTGGTCTGTACATGCGCTTTTCACCAAGTGGGCTATTTGTCTGGCTCAAGTCTGACGTGTGTGTAGATTGTTCATCAAGTTCTGAAAGAGGTGTGTGAGTGTGTTCCCAAATGGTGGTGGATTTCTTAGCTTCCATTTGTAGTTCTATGAAAATTTTCTTTTATACCCATTTATTTATTTTTTGGACTTTCCAGAAAGAAGACCGTCTCCGTATGAAGCGCCTAGGCTTTGGGCCTCCAGAATATGAAGCAAAGGATCCGTCCTGTGTAGTAGCCTGCTTCCGGTGTTTCGTGATAGTCATGGTGAGTCCCAGCACTTGTGACTTTCCCTGGGTCAGGCTCGGTCTCATGGCTCTGCCTGTGTTCAGGGGCTGGGGAATGTATGGCAGCTCACGACCACCTGGTGACCACCAAAAGTTCTGCCCGGGCAGAAGAGAGACTCAACATTGGCTTCCCTCAGAAGCTATTAAATTAAATTTATAATTCAGAATGACTTACTTGTGTGCCTTACTTTTGATTTTAATGAAAGACGCACTTGCCTGTGGAGGTTACCTACATTAGAGCTCACTTCTAGACCCTCCTCTGGCCTGTGAACCCATGGGTTCCAACCAAGAAGGACGGGGAATTCTAATTTGAATCACCCCGAAGGTCCACAGTTAGAAAGAGCCAGCTTCTCATGAAGAGAGTCCACCTTACCTTTTGACCCCATCCCTACCAGGGACCATCATAGTCTTTGGTGAAGGTGCAGATGGCCTCGTCTTCCTGGGTACAGGTGTGTGGCCACCACTCCTGTGGACTGCACTCCTAATGAGGGCGGCGGCCCTCTAGGTGGGCAAGGGAAACCGCTGTGGGAACAGGAGGTCTCCTGACTTCTCTCAGGTCCCCTCCTGTCTGGAAGGAGACTCTGAAACCGTTTTCAGTTCTGAGACCAGATCTTGGCTTCCATATTCTCTCTCTGCCTACCCACCCCCCCCCCATCATGTTGGGGAATTTGGAGGAATTTACAAATATTCATTGCTATGGTTTAAATATCCCCCCAAAACTCATATTGAATTTTGGTTTTTTTTTTTTTTGGAAATAGATTTTTAAAAGACCTTGGAGTAGCACATGATCATTTACGTATTTCATGTTGGAATTTAACTGTGGTTGTGACAATATTAAAGGGCGGGACATTTAGAGGTGGCTGGGTCATGAGGCTCTGTCCACATGAATGGATTCGTGCCAATACCTTGGGAGGGGGTTAGTTTTCAGGAGGATGCTCCTGAGAAAAGAGTCAGTCTGGCTCCTGTGGGCACTTCCTGTTCACTCTTCGTCTCCCGCTAGCCCTTCCGCCACGTGATGACAGCCTGTCACTCCCGACCAGAGCCAGTACCATGTTCTGAGACTCTCCAGCCTCAGAACCATGAGCCAAATGAACTCTACTGACTGTAATTCACTCAGTCTCAGGTGTTTTGTTCTAGAAACCTGAAACAAACCAAGATATTTTCAGACATAAATATTTAGCAGGACGGAAGCCAAGGTTCCTCACTGGTAAGTTTAAAATTGTCCCCAGGTGATTCTCATGGCTGTCCATGTTTGGGAGACTGAGTCTACGCCACTTGTGCCCCAAACAATATCGCTAGAAAGTGAGGAAGGGAAGATCTGAACGCAAAGGAGGTGGAATTTGAATTGTGTCCTGAAGTGGTAGGGTTTCAGTTGACTATTGACCCCAAATTGCCATGTCCCAAGCCACAGAAGTCGCTAGTGAAGGCAAACAGTTAGTCTCATAGATCTGTGGGTCAGCTTGGGGCTGGGTGATGTAGACTGAGCCTCGCTGGGCTCCTGGGGCGTCCCTGGGTGGGCTGGGGGCTGAACGGTGGAGGCTGAGCTCAAGAGACTCTACTTTCCTGGGCCCAGTAGGTTGACTGGGACCTGTTCCTTTTATATTGATGACAAAGACCCAGGAAGACAAGAGCAGATTCACGAGGTGTCTCGCGTCCTTGGCTTGGAGCTGGACGCAACATCTTCTACCGCGTTCTTTTGACCAAGGCAAGTCCGATGGCCAAAACCAACATCAGGATAGGGAAAGGTGCCGGCCATTTCCGTGGGGGAACAGTGCAAGTCACGTGGGGAGGAATGTGGCTGCAGATGAGGAGGGGCTGGTGCCCAGGCAGCTGGCATCTGCAGCGGCTTTCCAAGAAGCTCAGAGGTGGAGGGCGTGGGCACAGGCCAGGCCAGGCAGGGGGGACATGTGGAGCGGGCATCGTGCGGACCACCCCTCTAGAACGGCTTTCCTGTATTCGACGCAGTCTCTGTCACCACCTTGCTAAATAGGTCTGAGCCTCTCCTTTTTGGAGACAAAAAGCCACAATTCAGAGGGGTGAAGACACTGTCCCCGGCTACTTACGGCTCTCTGCAGGGCCAGGAGTTGAGTCGGCTCCGATTTTGCGTTTCTGCCTTTGCCTCTGAAACCCAGGGTCAGGAACTTTGTTTCTGCAAAGAGCCAGAAAGCGACGCTTGTTGGTTTGGCAGGAGCCCGCGCTCGGAATAGCTGCTGGGCCCCGCTGCGGCGCATGCAGCAGCCGCAGACAATACATCAACAAATGTGCGTGGACGTCATCCAGCAAAACGTGATTTACAAAAGCAGGCGGGAGGCTGTGGCCACAGGCTGCAGTTTTGATGGCGTCTGCTCTGCCACGTCCTCCTGTCGGGGGGGTCTGCTCTCTTCCTGGAGAGGACGCCGGGAGACGTGGGCACGGGAGGAGTCGTGATGACTTTGAAGGAGGAAAAACAACACAGATGGTGTTCCTTGGAGGTATGGGAACTGCCACGGTTTAGATCAGAGGTGTCCCCCCAAAGCTCACGTGTGAGACATTGTACAATTTTTTTCAGAGGTGACATGACTGGATTTTGAGGTCTGACCTAATCAGGGGACTCACCCACTAGTCTGAACCAGCTGGGGGGCGACTGGAGTGGCAGGGAAAAGACGAGGCTGGGCTGTGCCTTTGGAGTTTGTTTTGCCCCCCCCCCCCCCCCCCCCCCCCCCCCCCCCCGTGGGCCGAGCTCTCTGTCTGCTCCCTGGCTGCCGTGTCCTTAGCTGCTTTCGTCCCCTGCACCCTTCAGCCAGGATGTCCTCCTCACCCCAGGCCAGGAGCCACGGAGCCGGCTGTCCATGGACTGAACCTCTGAGTCTTCGAGCCCCCGACAGACTCTCCTCCTCTAATTGCTCTTGTTGGGTCTTTTGGTCACAGTGATGGGAAGCTGACTGTAACCGGGGTTGAAGGGACAGAAAGTGCCAAGGTCATAGACTTCTACCATGCAGTAAGCCCTTTGCCAGATTCTAGAAGCATCTAACCCGGGGGATGGTGGTAGGGGGAAGGCAGCCCTTGTCTTTGGAAGAGGTGACCATTTGGAAGAGAAGGGAGACCTTGGGATGAGGCTTGGTTCCCAGCTTGGTGCTCTCAGGAGATGGTGGCAGTTTTAAGAGCTGGGACCTTGTTGGACGTCTTCCAACCGCACAAGGCTGCGTGGCCCCTCAGCTTTCTCTTCTTTTCCTTCCTGGTCCATAAGTTCCCCCCACGGTGGCTGCCTTGTCACATGCCCAAAGGCCTCCCAGGTGATGAACTGCAGGTGGAAACCTTCCCAATTGTGGCCCCAAATGCCCCTTCCCTCTTAAGGGGATTATCTCAGTCGTTTTGTCACCGGGATGGGATGCTGACAAACCACGTCCCACGCTGGGACACCAGATTGACGTCCTATCCCCAGAGTGTTCCCAAAGGCTCTCCCTGGTCTGGAGCCAGGAAGACCGGCTGAGACCGAGGGTTGCTTATGGAGCAAAAAATCAGAATCCGTGGAACAAGTCCCCGCCGCCCCTCGCCGGGGTCCCTGGAGAGCTCCTTCTGTGGACGGGGCTTTGGAGGCCGAGCCTGGTTCTCCTGCGGGAGGAGTGGATGCTCTCCACTTGGAAGGAAAAGGCAGCCATGTGGCGGCAGAGGATCTGTTCTCTTCTTTGGGTGGCAGCCACAGGATTCCTCGCCAATTAGTAGCATCTGGTCCTCATAGAAGATGCCACCCTGGCGGAGCTGGCAGGTACCTCTGGATGTGACGCTCTGCGAAGTTCCTGATGGCCCATCTGTGCCGAGTTCCCTTCCCAGACACCGCAGCCTCCCCGCCCCCTCCCCAGCCACGCTGCCTTTCATCTGAAATATTTTTAAACACTTAGAACCTAAAAGCAGGACAGCCTCCAGTATTATTATTATTATTTTTTTTAAAATAGAGATGAGAGCGAGATTCTGAGACGTCTTTTTCCAAATTTAATAAAAAGGGGGCTGTTGTGACAGGAATAGTGATGACTCATTGGGCTGCATAATGCGGAGACCCCTGCGCCACGTCTGACATGCATTGTGTCACTTAATTGCCAAAGCAACTGGGCGAGGATGGGGGGGGGGTGTGGGGGTGGCCGCCAGGATTCCAATGCGCAGAGGAGGATCCCGGATCCAGGGAGGCCAGCTGCCCTTGGTCAAGGTCACCCAGTGTTTCCGCCAGGATTCCAACTCTGTAGTGTCTGGGTCCACAGTTCAGGCTGATGTCCAACATATGGGGACATCCAAAACGAAAACGGAGCCGTGCAGAGGCAGGTGTTTATGTGGTGACATTTTGGAGAGGAAAATACTTTTTATTCGCGCCCACCTGCCACCGATTCTGGGTGAAATTGGACCCCAACCTTCTGAGGCATGTTTCTGTTTTTTGTAACAATATCCCTAATGGCCACACGTGCTGCCTCATGGTTGCTTTTTCCTGAAGGTGCTCTTGACAGTGACTAAAGGACATGGAGAAGCTGGTCTTTGCTCCAGGAGCCCCGAGTCTCTCTGGCTTTACTCAATCCCTGCAGCTCCTCTTCTCCTTCTTGCCAAACTGTCTCTAGGACGCCTCTGTCCCCACCCCCGTCAGGAACCCCAGCCCTTCACTTCCCTCCTAAAGAGCTAATTCAGCAGCCTGTTTCCCAAATGGCCTCAGCTGCGTGGGTAGGAAGAGAATGAGGCTCAGCCTGCGACTCAAACACGTGGTCTTCATTCATCAGGAAGGAAAAGGCCCGGGTCTTCATGAAAAATCAAGAATTCCACAGACACACCCTTCCCTTTCCTGTCAAAGGCTCAGACCAAGGAGTCAGAGCTGCCCAGTTTGGGGTGTTTTATTTTAAGCAAGAGGTCCAGGCAGTGGTTGTCTTCCTCATAGGACAACGCAGCGGGGGAAACAACCGTCTTTCCATCGCAAATGCGATTTGTCCAAAGCCTCCAATTTAAACCACATAGTTCTTTTCTAAA